CAGGAACGGATTAAGGACGATAAACGAGGGACCACTATATTTTGCTAATAATAAACTCTAGCTATAGCTATTGACAAGTTTGAGTTGACAGCTGAATTAATCAAAAGGCTAGAACAACGTTCCTTTGTGACAACAAAAGCTAATGAATTTTTATATGATGCATGAAAAATTACACAGGGAAGGATCAAAGCACATTAAACAACTTTGCTTTGATGAAATATTTAAAAAGATAGCCAAGAAGATTATAGAATGTCACAGCAGTAAGTCTTCATCTGAAAATCCAGTGGCTTCACCTTCAAATACCCCATATGTCCTTCCAGGAAAATAGTGAGAATCTCCCTAGAAGATGAAAATGAGTTCCCATGGCATAAAAGAAACCCTCTTCTCCTTAGAACAATGGAGAAAACTGGGTAACAGTGACAATATGTAGGATGAGCTACTTTACAGTTAAGGCAAGTGGAAGGCTTCCTGAAGGATGGATTATGGTCAGCTGCATCACAGACTGGTCATTCTGCCACTGACCTGCAATATTTGGCTGGGTGGCCAAATTGCCAGCAATTTCAACACTGTTGTGGTGTAGAGATTAATTCCCTTACTTTTAAACACTATCCCACTATATATGCTGAGATTGGAAGTTCCTGGCACCCAAATGTTATTATTATAATCAAGGGGGAGTGCTAAACCCATAGGATTATACAGCACCTGTAGGGGGGGATGTGGAAGGTATTCAGGTTTAATTCGGGGAACTGGAGCACGGATCCAATTCCCTAGATCAAGAGCCCCTCACCAGCATCAAGGAACCTTCCTTGAGGGGACCCAAATGTTAATTTAGCTATATTTCAGGGATAATATTTTTGAATACAGGCAGGAAGGACATAAGTGTCCCTTTGGTATGTTCTGGAGCTCGATTTGCTCCATAATGTCTGCATCACATTTTATAGTCTTGATTGACTGTGGTGTGCGAAATAAGAGCAGTTTCCGCAACAATACCTGAGGGAAGAATGCCTGTGTGTTGTGACAGAAGCATTGTCACTACAGAATGCTGAGCAAGCTTGCTCAGCATTCTGTAGTGACAATTTGAATACCACTCTTGAGAGTATAAAAAGATGGTTTGCCCAACATGCTGCAAGAGTGCTTTGCTGATACTATGGTCAGAAAGACAGCCTATAGGTGTCATTGGTTGAAGAGTAAAGAATTTGTCTACGAGCCACCATGATGAAATACAGATTGTAGGGGCAGAGATTTTTAAGCTGCTTCTGAGAACAAGAACAAGGAGTAGCAGTAACAGGGTTAGGTTCATCGGCTATAGGTCAAGGTTGCTTGGACAGGATCTAAAGCCAATCTGTCCCTTAATGTACGAATAATCTGAAAATCAACGCACTATAGAGTGGGAAGACAAAATCATGGTCAAGGTCAAGTGAATGTCAGAAGTATCAAAAGGATCAGTTGGAACTTCAGCACCAGGGTCAGGCAATGAGGCATTACACAAAGGCCATACCAGGTTCTTGGAAAGTTTTGAAGAAAGGTCCATGGACATGCCAGGGTTATGTAAAGATGCTGCTGAGGAAGGAAGGAAGGGGCCCCAGGAAGAGACTGATCATGGATATGCGTGTCTATGATAAAGTTTTCTTAAAAAAAAAAAAAAAAAAAAAAAAAAAAAAAAAAAAAAAAAAAAAAAAGGGAGAGTGAAGGAAGGTGGGAGCTCCAAGGAGAAACAGAGAGAGACCATGCATATCCACCTCTGTGTCCAAGAGGTCCCTCAGTGCAAAAGTAGTGTAGATGCTGTATGAAACTCACTCCTTACCCTACCCTTCATGCAGTAAACCAGCAATCCAAAACAGTAACCTCACATTCCCCAAGCTACTTGGCAGACAAAAGGAAGGGTGGTTGGAAACCCGCTGAGAGGCATATCCCCGATGGCCACCACCTCCCAAATTGCCTCTTGTTTCATACACACATCTGCCACCAGAGCCACCCCCAAATATCTAAATTCAGTCACTTCCTCCATACTCACCCCTTCTAATTTGATGTTCAATCTTTCATTGCCTAGACTTTTTACTTACTCTACCTTGCTGTTTTACATACTTTTAATTTCTTTCCTTTACACAGGCTCCCAAATTCTTCTATCAACTCTCTAGCTTTTCTTCAGAATCTTCCAAAAGCAGTGTCATACGCAGAGAGAGGCTGTGATGGCTTCCACTTCATATCAGTCATATTTCTTCTTAATCCTGAAGTACTCCCCAGCACTAAAAGTTCTTTTACAGCCTCATACATAAACTACATTGCTACAACATACATCACTAATGCCCACTTTTTCTCAAAAATACTCTAAACCCTCAAAGGGAGGTTCTGTGATGCCAGCAAAGGGCTCTTGATATGAGAAATTAATGTATTTTCTTTCCTTGGATAAAACATTATTGCCTCCCATTTCCTCATACACTATATGATCCATTGGGGTTTAGTGCTTTCCACTGAATATAAATAATTAACCCCTTCTATATAAATTACTAAATGAATAATAATTTTACACTCCCTAAGCTGAGCCACAGTCTCCGCATAAAAAGTTTTTATGGCTTTTGACATGTTATCTGTGAATGGTTCTGGGGATCATCACACTCGTGGATAGTCTCAGATTAGGCCTCACCAACTGGAAAGAAAATAGTGGTCCCTTGAATTATGATATTAATCCATTCCAGAAATTTTATCAAACCCAAATCCCAAAATACATAGTTTATGGTAATTCATTCCAAGAATCCAGAAGTACAACTCTTACTGCACCTCGGACTTGAAGAGTTGGTGGTGTGGTGGTGGGGGAGAGAGTGGAGAGGAAATTACTAGTTGAGAGGAGAAGTTCCTTCCAATTGTTGCTTCTTGAAAAAACTGTCCAGAGATGTTTGTGTCTGTCTCTTTCTTCTTAGGCTCTTAAAATAAGATAAAACATTATCTTAAAAAACACAGAAGAGAGTTCAGTTTTGTCAGTGTCTGAGTGCTTTCTTATGATTCTTTCAGCACCTTCCCAAATAGTAAACAACTTAATTTCTGTAGCTGTTATCCTATGGTCATCATCCTTCTTCCTTCCATCTTCCTCTGCATACAAAGGGGCTTTTGGCATGTACACCCAACTACTATATTCCTCTGTACAACCATGTATTATGTAAAAATAAATTTATTATTATTATTATTATGATTATTAACTGTCCTTCTCATCCATCTACCCTAATTTCTGGAGCTCCTCTGTTGTCTACTCCTGTCTATGGTCATGAATTAACTCTTCCATATCCTCTTCATCAACCTCCAGCTTCACTGCTTCACCAAGTAGAACATCTGTTCACATCCTCAGCCTAAGTTCACAATGTCATAGGCGACTGTAGGCCACAGGTTCTTCCAGGCTGCATTGAATGGAAACTTCATTCCAGAAATTCACTATGAGCATCACAGTCGAAGATGTTAAACTTGAGGCTGATGACTGTCTCCTTAAGTCTCTGAAATGCACCTGGCAGACATCATCTTGATGCAAGTCTCCTTGAAACTTGCAATCACTTTTGGTCCAAAGCACGAAGCAGAGGAGTTATATTGGGTATGTGTATCATATCTCAAAATTTACAATGCAACTCAAAATTAAATTCTTTTATATGCGTAAATCAAACTCGAAATTATCGTAACCCAGGGCCATCATAGCTTAAGGGGACCACTATATTACAGGAATAAGAACTACAGTATTATACAAATAGATAAACAAAAGTTAAGGGTATACTGAATATACATACAGTAAAGTTCTGTCTTACATGAAATCATGTTAAGTGAGCTGAAGAACATGAAAAAATGTTATGCTCCTAACATAATAATAATAGCATTTTTTGTAATTTATAGTGCAACTGGATGTAGTGATGTGTATTGTAATGAAAAGATTGTACATATAACTACAAAGGATATATGAAAACTTTTTCTTACCTTAAATTCTGGTTGCTGGTGCATGCTGGTGATCTGAGTCATGGAGGGGATTGGTGTACCACTACTGGGCCATAGTTGATATCTGTGGTTCTTGGGTCGAGGTGGATGGCTGTCACTCTTGGGCTGAGGTGGATGACTGTGGTTCTTAGACTGATGTTAATGCACAACTGGTAACTGATGGTTGTACTGAAATGCTCAGATATTTTGTAATGCACCCCTTGCTCCACAGCTCATTTTGCAGCAATATTTATTATTACAATCAAAACTTAAGGGCTAAATCCACAAGGAGCAATACTTGTATATGTCATGATCCTTTTCAGTGGTGAGCAGCAGCTTGCTAATCTCCAGAATGTAGTGTGAAAGCTTAGATTCCTCCTCATCTTGTGCTATCTCCCTTCCTTATACTATACAGCAACTGAATTTATCCAACATTTCTTCTCCAGTTGTTCATCATTATCTTTTAAGGGTTTATTTAAGTCTTGTTTGCATATCTTCAAAGCCCTCACCTGGCACTCTCCTCACCAGATCCACAATTTCCTAGACCTAGCTCTATATTAAGAGAAATCCGGGAAATTATTCACCACACTTGGTTATGATTTTCTCTAGCTTGCATTTATTCTTAATTGGAGCATTTTATCCCATGCAGCTTTTACAGTGGCTATTGCATCTGCAATGCTAAATCTATACCAGAATTCTGGCACTCCAGCATCTGTACTGTCAACCATTGCTGCAAGGAGCTTAACATGTAGTGGAACATAAATGTCTTAATCATTCCTTAATTAAGTGGTTGTATCAAGGATGTTGTATTTGATGGTAATAACACAACCTTCACATTTGGCTCCAGACTCAGAGAGTTGAGGATGGCTACAGGAATTAAGAGTAAGGAGAACTCCAAAAGGAGGGTTCTTTCTTACCATCAACATCTTGACTGAAGGAATAGATGCTATCTATCAGCCTACTAACACAAATTTTGTACACATGCAACACTTTGATTACTCTAAGCTGTTTAGGGTAAGCATCTTAAAATTTACTATAAATGAAATAAGGAGAAAAATACATTAATATTTATTATTAAATTTATTTACAATATGAACAATTATGTATCAACAAGAAGCGCAGTATCCCCCGAAGTATCAAAGAAAATATCATCATGAAGGGTGTCTCTTATTTCTTTCACCTGATCTTTCTTCTTGTTCTTTTTGTTCTTTTTCTTAAGTTCACCTGAAATTTAATAAAAGTATACTTTTTAGATGTCCTATATTTAATAGCAATAACATACCACTTAGATAACATTACATATAGCAATTTCCTGGCTATACTGAAGGTAATGACACAAAGTATGAAATTTTATAAAAAAAAAAATTAGAAAAATTACATAGACACAAGATTAGTTGTCTGGGCACAATTTATGCAATGGAGATTTTGCCCACTTTGAGTCCTATTTTAAGCTAATCCCATTGCTGCAGCAATAATTAGAACGTAAAACAAACTCACTTTCCTCATCTGGTACCAACAGGTCATCAAACATTTTCCGTTTCTTCTCCGCTTTGTCTATAAGCTGCTGCCAGTCAGATTTGTCTCCTCTTTTAAACATATCCACCTAGAATGAAAAAGATAATATAAGAGACCTTTCTATCAAAACACTAGCTATACTATACATGTAAATCTACCTGATTACATTATGTTACATATCTGAAGTTATTACTTTCAACTGCATAACACAGCTAATGACTCTGAAATGTACTTACTAACCTACTTTTAACTGCTTTTATAATACAGTGGAACCTCGGCTGTCAAACTTAATTCATTCCAAAAGTTGATTCGACAACAAAAATGGGCGACAACCAAAGCAATTTTTTCCATAAAGAATAATGTAAATAGAATTTATCTTTTCCAGACAGCAAATGACAATATAATAATTTATTAAAAAGTACTAACTACTAAATTCTTTCTTTCAACAAACCAGCCGTATCCCACCGAGGCAGGGTGGCCCAAAAAGAAAAACGAAAGTTTCCCTTTTTAAATTTAGTAATTTATACAGGAGAAGGGGTTACTAGCCCCTTGCTCCCTAACTACTAAATAAAACTGTAAAAATGAATACTAAAAGAAACTAACTGAAATATCATACAGTAAATGAAACTAACTGCCTTTTATCTGTCAGGGGAGAGCTAATGGCATACCGGAAGGAGGTGGAGGAGGAGGGAGTATGCCACTGCTTGGAAGGAATGCCACCTTCTATTAATGTGTCAGGTAACTGTCCTCCTGGTGTTGTTTCTATTCTTTGTCTCTTTTTACCACTAACACCTTGTTCTGCCTCACTGGTTCTTTGTTTCACTAAAATCTTGTCCGGTGAGGTTTGTTTCAGGCTCTATTTTAACACTTGTCTAAATTGAGACATTACACTGTCATTATACATGTTAGAGAGACAGATGGCCATTGCTTTGTCTGCATGGTATTCTTCAGCAAACTCCTGCACTTCATGCCATTTAGCACACATTTCCTTGACATGTGCAATGGACACATCCCTTCCCTCCTCTTCCTCTGATGACAGCTCCTCTACTGCAATCTGTTGCTGCTACTTTTAAAGGTCTACAAATTCTTCTGTGGTGAATTCAGTTCTATGCTCCTCCACCAACTCCACATCATCTTCAGTCACCTCTAGGCCCAAGGTCTTCCCCAAGGACACAATATCCTCTACTGCCTCAGGTTCATCTTCAAAGCCTTCAAAATCCCTGGTTGCCATGAAGTCAGGCTGCAATTTCTTCCATGCTGACTGCATGGTCCTGGAAGACACATTTCCCCTGACTTTGTCTATAAGCCTCAAGCAGGTGAGGATACCAAAATGGTCCTTCCGGAACTCCCTGAGGGTTAAATTTGTTTCTGAAGTGATTTCAAAGCACCTTCAAAAAATGCTTTGGTGAAGAGTTTCTTGAAGTTAGAAATGACCTGCTGGTCCATAGGCTGGATGAGAGGAGTGGTGTTCAGGGGCAAGAACTTCACAATTATAAAACTGAACTTCTCCAGCAACTCTTTTTCCAAGCTTGGATGGTGAGCAAGAGCATTATCCATAAGTAAAAAGGCCCTGAGTGGCACTGTTTTTTAATGAGGTACTTTTTGACAGTGGAAGCAAAGACCTCATGAACCCACTCAATAAAAAATTGTCTTGTTACCCCAAGCTTTTGTGTTGTCCCTCCACATTACAGCAAATTTCTTTTTCATAACTGTCCAAACATAGATCTATGTTCACTCACATAGCGCTCTGAAAATAGATCTACATTTCTTTACATGAGAAAGCATGTAAAATAGAACTTAGATCTACGTTCAGAGTGCTACATGAGTGAACGTAGATCTATGTTTGGACAGTTTAAGGGTTAAAAATTCATGGACTTTTAGAATGATAAACAAGTAAGGGCTTCAATTTCAAGTCCCCACATGCATTATCACACAGTAACAAAGTGAGCCTGTCTTTCATTGGCTTGTGACCTTTGCTGTCAACTCATTGTCCAGTGGTACATAATAGCATATTTTACAAAAGGAATAGATATTTTGTAGGTAGTAGGTTGGTAGACAGCAACCACCCAGGGAGGTACTACCGTCCTGCCAAGTGAGTGTAAAACGAAGCCTGTGATTGTTTTACATGATGGTAGGATTGCTGATGTCTTTTGTCTGTCTCATAAATATGCAAGATTACAGGCATGTCTTGCTACTTCTACTTACACTTAGGTCACACTACACATACATGTACACATTTATTTATACACACTCATCGAGTTTTCTTTGATTTTATCTTAATAGTTCTTGGTCTTATTAATTTCCTTTTATATCCATGGGGAAGTGAATAAGAATCGTTCCTCCGTAAGCCATGCGTGTTGTAAAAGTCAACTAAAATGCCGGGAACAATGGGCTAGTAACCCCTTTTCCTGTAAAGATTACTAAAAAGAATAAGAAGAAGAAAATTGTCAAAGTGGGAAGTCTGAATGTGCGTGGATGTTGTGCAGATGATAAGAAAGAGATGATTGTGGATGTTATGAATGAGAAGAAGCTGGATGTCCTGGCTTTAAGTGAAACAAAGCTGAAGGGGGTGGGAGAGTTTCAGTGGAGAGGAATAAATGGGATTAGGTCAGGGGTTTCAAATAGAGTTAGAGCTAAAGAAGGAGTAGCAATAATGTTGAAGGATAAGCTATGGCAGGAAAAGAGGGACTATAAATGTATTAATTCAAGGATTATGTGGAGTAAAATAAAGATGGATGTGAAAAGTGGGTTATAATAAGCGTGTATGCACCTGGAGAAGAGAGAAGTGTAGAGGAGAGAGAGAGATTTTGGGAAATGTTGAGTGAATGCGTGGGGAGTTTTTGAATCAAGTGTGAGAGTAATGTGGTTGGGGATTTTAATGCTAAAGTGGGTAAAAATGTTATGGAGGGAGTAAGTAGGTAAATTTGGGGTGCCAGGGGTAAAATGTAAATGGGAGCCTTTAATTGAGCTATGTGTAGAAAGAAATTTGGTAATAAGTAATACATATTTTATGAAAAAGAGGATAAATAAATATACAAGGTATGATGTAGCACTAATGAAAGTAGTTTATTAGATTATGTATTGGTGGATAAAAGGTTGATGGGTAGGCTCCAGGATGTACATGTTTATAGAGGGGCAACTGATATATCGGATCATTATTTAGTTGTAGCTACAGTTAGAGTAAGAGTAGATGGGAAAAGAGGAAGGTGGCAACAACAAGTAAGAGGGAGTGAAAGTGTATAAACTAAGGGAGGAGGAAGTTCGGGTGAGATATAAGCGACTATTGGCAGAAAGGTGGGCTAGTGCAAAGATGAGTAGTGGGGGGGGTTGAAGAGGGTTGGAATAGTTTTAAAAATGCAGTATTAGAATGTGGGGCAGAAGTTTGTGGTTATAGGAGGGTGGGGGCAGGAGGAAAGAGAGTGATTTGTGGAATGATGAAGTAAAGGGTGTGATAAAAGAGAAAAAAGGTAGCTTATGAGAGGTTTTTACAAAGCAGAAGTGTTATAAGAAGAGCAGAGTATATGGAGAGTAAAAGAAAGGTAAAGAGAGTGGTGAGAGAGTGCAAAAGGAGAGCAGATGATAGAGTGGGAGAGGCACTGTCAAGAAATTTTAATGAAAATAAGAAAAAATTTTGGAGTGAGTTAAACAAGTTAAGAAAGCCTAGGGAAAATATGGATTTGTCAGTTAAAACAGAGTAGGGGAGTTAGTAGATGGGGAGATGGAGGTATTGGGTAGATGGCGAAATTATTTGAGGAACTTTAAAGATGTTAAGGAAGAAACAGAGGCAGTAATTTCATGCACTGGTCAGGGAGGTATACCATCTTTTAGGAGTGAAGAAGAGCAGAATGTAAGTGTGGGGGAGGTACTGAGGCATTACGTAAAATGAAAGGGGGTAAAGCAGCTGGAACTGATGGATCATGACAGAAATGTTAAAAGCAGGGGGGGATATGTGTTGGGTGGTTGGTACTTTTTGTTTAATAAATGTATGAAAGAGGGGAAGGTACCTAGGGATTGGCAGAGAGCATGTATAGTCCCCTTTATATAAAGGGAAAGGGGACAAAAGAGACTGTAAAAATTATAGAGGAATAAGCTTACTGAGTATACCAGGAAAAGTGTACGGTAGTTATAATTGAAAGAATTAGAGGTAAGACAGAATGTAGGATTGCGGATGAGCAAGGAGGTTTTAGAGTGGGTAGGGGATGTGTAGATCAGGTGTTTACATTGAAGCATATATGTGAACAGTAATTTAGATAAAGATAGGGAAGTTTTTATTGCATTTATTTGATTTAGAAAAGGCATAGATAGAGTGGATAGAGGAGCAATGTGGCAGATGTTGCAAGATATGGAATAGGTGGTAAGTTATTAAATGCTGTAAAGATTTTTTATGAGGATAGTGAGGCTCGGTTGGGGTGTGTAGAAGAGAGGAGACTACTTCCCGGTAAAAAGTAGGTTAGACAGGATGTGAATGCCCCACCATGGTTGTTAATAATTTATAGATGGGTTGTAAAGGAGTAAATGCTAGGGTGTTTGGGAGAGGGGGTGGGATTAAATTATGGGGAATCAAATTCAAAATGGAATTGACACAGTTACTTTTTGCTGATGATACTGTCTTATGGGAGATTCTAAAGAAAAATTGCAAAGGTTAGTGGATGGTTGGGATGTGTGTAAAGGTAGAAGTTGAAAGTAAACATAGAAAAGAGTAAGGTGATGAGGGTGTCAATGATTTAGATAAAGAAAAAATTGGATATCAAATTGGGGAGGGAGAGTAGGGAAGAAGTGAATGTTTCAGATACTTGGAGTTGACGTGTCGGCGGATGGATTTATGAAGGATGAGGTTAATCATAGAATTGATGAGGGAAAAAAGGTAGTGGTGCGTTGAGGAAATATGTGGAGTCAAAAAACTTTATCTATGGAGGCAAAAAGGGGAATGTATGAAAGTATAGTAGTACCAACACTCTTTTTAGGGTGTGAAGCTTGGGTGTAATCAGCAGCGAGGAGACGGTTGAGGCACGGAGATGTCCTGTTTAAGGGCAATGTGTGGTGTAAATATTATGCAGAAAATTCGGAGTGTTGGGAAAATTTGGAGAA